GGAAAGGACTCAACAACCTGAATTTTATTGCATATTCGAGTGGCCCATGTTCAAATACACATATTAGAGCCTTTTTTGACTGGTTCTTGCGCGAAGAAAAGTTCGGCGCCTACGATTTCGGCCGTTTTTGTCGCCAAGTGCCTAGAAAGCGCGTGAATCTCTATAGGCGGACGGAAAAGCACTTAGCAACCTGAATTTTATTGCATATTCGAGTGGCCCATGTTCAAATACACATACCAGAGCCTTTTCTTCTTGGTTCTTGCGCGAAGAAAAGTTCGGTGCCTTTGATTTCGGCCATTTTTGCCGCCAAATGCCTAGAAAGCGCATGAATCCCTATAGGCGTATGGAATAGTACTCAACAACCTGATTTTTATTGCATATTCGAGTGGCCCATGTTCAAATACACCTATTAGAGCCTTTTCGGCCTGGTTCTTGCGCGAAGAAAAGTTCGGCGCCTACGATTTCGGCCGTTTTTGCTGCCAAGTGCCTAGAAAGCGCATGAACCCCTACAGGTGTAGGGAAAAGCACTCGGCAACCTGAATTTTATTGCATATTCGAGTGGCCCATGTTCAAATACACCTGCAAGAGCCTTTTTCGACTTGGTTCATACTCGAAGAAAGGTTCAGCGCCTATGATAGTGCATGCGTTCAAAGTGTGGCGCTGTTACTTGACCGGCGCAGACGTGACAGTACGGACAGACCATAAATCCCTACACTACCTCCGCGCGCAGCCCCACCTCAAACCACGACGGATTTGCTAGCTCGATTTCCTCGAGTCAAACTTTTAGTACACGGTCACCTACAAGAAGGGGGCATCGAATATCGCCGACGCACTGACCCGCCCCACTGCCCAAATCCACGCCATACTACTCGCCCAGACAAGCCCACTGCTGACCGGACTATTTACCCACTGCTACCAGACTGATCCATTCTTCGCCGGAGGAAATTCGCAGCAGTTCGCCACAGCAAAGGGAGTCTATTACGTAAATACCGGGACTGACCGCATCTGGGTACCAGGGTACGCATTACTACGGGAGCTACTGCTACAGGAGGCACACGACAAAGTTACCTCAGGACTTTCGGAGTGGAAAAAACATGGCAGCAGCTGCAGAGATATTATTACTGGCCTGAGATGCTGACCGACGTACACCGACACGTGATGTTGTGTCCCAGCTGCCAGCTCATGAAATCATCACGGAAGCGGTTGGCAGGGCAGTTGCAGCCGATACCACCCCCAGAGCGTGCTTGGCAGTGAGTGGGAATGATACGATCTTGGTCGTCGTCGATCGGCTGACGAAAATGGCACACTTCGCAGCTTGCAAGAAATCAATCACAGCCGAAGAAACAGCTCGCCTCTTTATCTCCACCGTCGTTCGACCACACGGGATACCAGCAGCAAACATCTGCGACCGCGACACGAAATTCACCAGCAACTTCTGGCGGAACCTGTGGCAGCAGTTCGGCACACGGTTACAGTTTAGTTCTTCGTACCACCCCGAGACCGACGGACAGACAGAACGGACAAACCAGACCATGGAGCAACTCATCCCAACCACCTGGGAACAACAACTGCCACTCATCGTGTTCGCATACAACAACTCGCCATCCGCCACAACCCAACAGTCACCGTTTTACCTGAACCACGGACAAGACCCCATAGTGCCTATGACCCCAAACCCCGACAACCCGGTGCCACGCGCGCAACGGTTCGCCGAAATTTTATAAGCAGCACGGACATGAGCAGCAGACGCAATAAAAAAATCGAACATCATCGCTAAACGCAACGCCGATTGCCACCGCCGACTTGTCACCTACCAGCCCGACGACCTAGTCTTACTCGACACCCAGAACCTCCGCCTGCCCATCACACCAAAACTTCGCCCCCGATATTGCGGGCCATTTCGCATCAGCCACATGATCACATCCGTCGCCGCCCACCTCCTCCTCCCTGCTGACTGGTACGTCAGCCCGTCCTTCCATGTCAGCCTGCCTCGCCCCTACGTGCCATCCACCAGCCAACTGCCTCGCAACCGCCCAGCCAGCATGACACAACCACCCACCGAGCCAATAATCTCGCCCGGTAAGATTTTGAGCCACCGAGTTCGCGACTCACGGGGAGCCCGCAGGATCGAGTTTCTGATCCGCTGGAAAGATCGCACGCCCACAAAAGATAACTGGGTCCCCATGGACAGAATTGAGAGTCACCCTCTCCACACCGAGTACCTGCGCAGCTGAAACTTCCGGGATGTACACGCGCTTTCGTAAGGAGGTCCTCCTTAGGGGGGGGGGGGGGGGGGAGAGGGGGGTAGTGAAAGGAAAATTCCTTTTCCTTACTCCGCGTCCCTTCTCAGCGCGTACGCCACTGTTTCCGCCAACAGCACTCAATAGTAAACCGTTACCACTCGCGACACTCGCCTCGACACTGTTCCCAATACTGTTCACGCCGCGACCCAACCTCACGGCTCGGTTGGTAACCCGCGCTCTGGACTTCCACCTCGGCATTTCCCACCCTCGGCGCTAGGCCCGTCGCGCACCCCAATTTCCACACATTACCGTTACCACTGTAGTTTCGCTAATATATACTCTTTCTTCGCTCATGCCTTCGCTCATTGTACTCTTGCTTCGATAGTGCAATTCTCGCTCGCTCGCTCAATTGCACTCGTAACATATACATGTTCATCAAATAATATAGTAGGCAAACAATTCATAGGATATTTCTGTATGGTAGTTTGCACTGTTCAGGTGTGTAACGCCAGGAAAATCATTCGGACGCTTTGCGTGTTGTCCACATGGCGCCATCTCATCCCATCTGACCTGAAAGCCATCGATTACATTCCACAGTCCCGGATACACTCTACACACCAAACCAACAACGCGGCCATTTTCAGGTGCATGCAACTTAGTCGGGAAACACTGTTCAGGTGCATGCTATCGCGTCGTGTTCTCCCCTCTGTTGTTTTTGTTTGTACACCTCCGCCACGAAATACACTGTTCTGTCAGGGGATGCTACCCATGCGACTGACACCCACTCGCGCAGCCCCTCTCGCACGAACTCGTCGTCCAACCACACCAGTCGCAGCCTTACTGCGAGCAAGGTCGATACATATCGCAACACACCTGACTAAAAACGGGCAAAAATAATAATACCCAATTGGAAACGCATGCGACTAGGGAGAAATCAACCCTAAACACCAGGGCGGTTCCCGTGCTTACGGTTGAAACTCCCGTAAAGTGTGTCCAGGTTCCCTAGTTTCCATTCAAATAATTATTTTTTCTTCCACTGCCTTACGGAATATCAACCCGAAACACCAGGGGGTTCCCGTGTGTTGGGTTGATACATACCTAACAAAATCCAGGTTTCCCTAGGAGTTGTTTTTTTTTTTTTTTCCCCTCTTTTCGGGCTTCCCTGTGAGGCCGATTTTGTGTGTTGCGTGTGCTGCTCCTGTTGAGCGGGTTACATCCCCTGACGAACAGTGTTGTTTGTGGCGAATGTGTACAAACAGTGGCAACAGAAGGAGAAACACGACGGGATAGCATGCACCTGAACAGTATTTCCCGACTAAGTTGCATGCACCTGAAAATGGCCGCCAACAACGCAATGGGAAGCGAACATGCGGCGGCCGACACCTTCCGCCTCAGCTGCACTCATTGCGAATCGTCCACACATGTCGCCGCGTCAGATTGGGCTTTCAACGACACCCGCGAATGCTTGCTACGAAAGTGAGGTTTTCACGTTCTTTCGAGTGTCCAGTCGGAGGAGAACTGTGTAAGTAAAGAGCGAGTTTAGCAAAGAGAAGTGACAAATGGAGCGCAGGGGTTTCCTGTTTCGAGCTGGTTACCCCAAACACATTGATAGAACAAACCGTTCCCGTCCCACCACCACGCAACTGTTTCCCACCATGTGCCACGTGCCAACTGCTGTGTCGGTGGCGTGCCCTCGAATTGCCAGGAACTTGCTAGGCCTTACGTACACGATCCGATGTTGCTTCCACCTATTCGTCAGACCATACAGCACTACGCTTGGAGCCCACCGTTCCTGGTCCTCGTTTCTTGGTCCCGTTTCTGGGTGGTTGTCCCACTGTCTGAGAATATTGGCCCAACCAATCCAGAATTTTCAGCTTTGGACATTACCACGTCAAAAATAGCCCCATCCAGGTCAGAGCGCGTTTTGAGAACCAGACGTAGGGCACTCCGGCGACGCTTGAGGGATAAGGGAAGCCTTCTTTTGCTTGCTGACCTAATCGCGTCGTGGAGTCCTTCTAAAATGATTCACTGACACGCGAGCCGCTAATGGAAAGATTCTTCGGCATCAACAAACTTTGCCCAGCTTGTGTGGCATGACGTGTATCTAACCGCACTGCCACACCATTCCGGCGCAGCTGATGGGTCCGCAAGTCAGCACTGGCTCACAACCACCTCAGCCACGCTGGGAAAAGACCTGCACCTGCCCAATGCCCAACCACGGCGCATCGAGGTCGCGCCGCATCTGCATCTTCCGCCGCTGAATCCCGCACTGCACCGCTGTGAGGTGGAGCCGAGGTGGCTGCGTCATGTCATAAATTGGGGCTGTTTTGAGGGAGCTGGAATCCATTCATTGCATCTCCATTGCTTCGTTGTTCTAAGCCTTCTCTTGCCAACGTTACGAAACGCTCCTACTTTCCTAGTCGTCAGTGCTTGCTTACTCCACCTGAACTCACGTTGCGTCACCAGCACGCACTGTTGTTGGTTCAGTGGTTGTTCCACGGTGTCAGCGCGTCGCGAATAGCTGGCTCCACTTCATAATCGCTTGCATTTGAGAACGCTATTCTCCATTCCCATCTTCAGAGCTTCTCCACGAATTTCCGGAGACAAACTTGCTACCTTTCATCCAGGACAAGCTTCCAGTTTTCCAGCGTTACAGTTCTCCAGCCTTTCTTAGAGATCGTTGGACACACGCTTTCAATGGCTTCCTTGTCTAAAGTCGCCGCGCAGCCCGTCATCAGCCATGCGCCATCGTCATCAATGGCGAGACGAGGCGCGTCGCCGCCTCCGGAAAGAAACACTCCCAAGCTTAACGTTCCGCAGCTGAGCGGTCGCACTCTCTCCAAACACAGCCGCGACAATCGTCCCCAGAACCTGCGCGCCGTGCGGCCGTTCACTCAAACGGTCAGCTCCCAAAAGAGCCTTCACAAGGATCGCAAAATCGATCAGATCGCCTGGGGCGACGGGACGTGCGCCGACCCGCTTCCTCTCCTCGCTAGCGAGATGAATCTTCGCCAGCCGCCGTCATCCACGCCCGCGGCAATTGAATGGCTGCTCCTTCGCGCGCAGGGCCTGTCGGCCGTTCTCGACGAACTTGACTTCGCGTGGTCGTACTCGCGTAAGCGCACGGCGCCTCCGCGATCCCCGGCTGCATACCTGTCCGCGTTCGAGCGGGAACTCCGCCGCGAGGCCCTCTACGCGGAGATCCAGCAGCTCGAGACGATGCTTCGCCCGCAGTGCATCTTGCCCAGCCGAGAGCAACAGCAAGCCGGAGCTGCTGACGAAGTCTATCCCCGCTGCAATTGGCCTCGACAAGGATCAATTTTGCGTTCCACACCTGCACCGGTCGAAACCGCGGCAATTGCTCTGGCCATGCTCGCTGTGACCGAGGCTGCTCCCCCCGCCGCGTTCGCTCGGTGCCAGTGGCCGCGCGCAGTTGCCGCGGCTGTGGCTGGCGCCCGCTGCGAGTGGCCCCGCAAGGCTTCCGCTGCTCCTGCTTTCGCTTCTCGCGCGGAATCCCCTGCGCTGGCTGCCCGTTGCGCCTGGCCGCGCACTTCACCCGCCGCCTCCTCCGGCCCCCGCTGCGCCTGGCCCCGACCGACAGCTCTCTCCGCACTCCCCGGCCTCTCTCCCGCCCCCACCGTCGCAACCATCGGTGCGCACTGCGCATGGCCGCACAAATCATCATCAGCTGCAGCGGAGGCTCCTCGGTGCCTGTGGCCGCGCGCAACTTCTCCGCCACTGGCGGGAGCTTCTACCCCCGGCGCCCGCTGCAACTGGCCTCGTGCAGCGAGCGCTGTCGCTTCCGCGGAGACCGCGCCTGTTGAGCGCGCGCGGTGCGCGTGGCCACGTCAGGTGGCAAATCCCGACGTCCAGGCGCTGCTTGAGCGGGCGCTAGTCCAGGCGGAAGCGACTGCGCCTCAGGCAGTGGAAGGGCCGCGGTGCGCCTGGCCCCGCGCGGGTGCTGCTCCTGCGCCGTCTCCTGCTGTTGCGGAGGGTCCCAGATGCGCCTGGCCCTGCGGGGTCCCCGCCACCCCTGCGCCAACACCAGTGGAAATTCCCCTTGGCCCCCGTTGCGCGTGGCCCAGGCAGACGGAGGCTATTCAACGGTCAGCTGCTGCGGAGGAGCTTCATGGCGATATGCTTCCGCAGATTGCGCGGGAAGAGGCCAAGCTGGAGGCTGCTGGCCGCGTTTTTGAAAGGCGGCGCGTAAGGGCCATCACACTTGGCGCGTAAGTGAATTCTCTGGGCTTGGATAAGAGCTGGAGTAAATCACGGAAACGAGAGCAGAATTCACGCTGGGATTACACGAGAAAGTACCCGTAACAGTTTTGTGTACATAATCTTCGTTTTGAGTGACCGTGCGATATGCTCGCGAACGAGCTGCGCACTTAGATCGTGGGAGTGTGATGCTCCTTTCAGTAGGCAAGTCCCATTGTGTGAATTGGTTTGAAGTAGTGAGTTAGGACATGGTATCTGTAAACGTACACTGCTAATGATACGAGAATTAAAAGCGATTCAAATTGCTGTATAGGACCGGGGGTCATTACACTAACTGGATCGTGCATGAGAAAACGAATCAGAGCAAATAGAGCTGAAAAACAAGGGACAGAATTTTATGGAATGATAAATCTATACATGCTGTGTAGCTCTGCTGCAATCAGTTCCCCTTAAAGTAGGCTGCATAAACACTACAAGCAATTGCAAACAGCACAACAAATCCATCAAATGCAAGCGCCGTGATGGAGCCATCTGAAAGAGGAACATCATTCTCATCCTCCCCAGGGCCTTTCCTGCCCACAGGAGAGGGAGGGTCCCGAGAGCCCATGCCTCTCTGTGTGCGGTCCACCTCATACGGCCACACAAACCGCCCCCCACGCGCATCAGAAGCTTCTTGGGCTCTGCAGTGTAGACAGGGAGATAGAAAAAATCTTTTGCACATGGGATGGTAGAGTGTCGACGGACAGGAACTTCCCTGGTGCAGAAAAAATCGTGCTATCAACATGGACTCATCCAACAGCCCATGCACAAATGCTCTCCCTCCAACCCCTCCCCCCTTCCCAAATGCTCCCTCCCATCCCACCCATTCCCCTCCCTCCCGACCCGAATGCTCCCTTCCCATCCCTCATATCCCCCCTCCCTCCCTCGCATCTTCCATGCCCAATTCCCCCCAGCGCGGCCGTACAGCTTCCAGTCGTAGAGGCGGCGGTCCTCGGAGCTGGAGAGCACCTCGTAGGCCTGGTTGAGCCGCACGAACTGCTGCTCCGCCACTGCCAGCGGCAGCCGCGTCGTGTCGGGGTGGTACCGCTTGGACAGCCGCCGGTACGCCGCCTTCACGTCGTCCGTGTCCGCCAGGGGCGACACGCCCAGCACGCTGGGGGGGTGCGGGGAGGGTGTGGAAGAGGGAGGGGAGGGGGAAACCGAAAGGGATGGTACCGATTTGACAGCCGCCGGTACGCCGCCTTCACGTCGTCCGTGTCCACCAGGGGCGACACGCCCAGCACGCTGGGGGGTGAAAATAGGCGGAAAACCAGGGGAGAGGGGGAAAGGGGGAGGGGAAGAATTGGGAGAGAGGGAGGGGGGTGGAGAAAAAGGGGGGAAAATGTGGGGGGAGGGGGAGGAGGGGGGGGGAAGAGAAAGATGGAGAGAGAAGGGGGAGGTGGGCTATGTTGACAAATTAATCCGTTCTCATATTGATACGTTTTTAACCATGCGACGTTGTAGGAAGGTACGTGAGAAGCTCAAAATCCATGTAACTATCTGATTCCGATTAACTCTCTCAATTCCGTTTACCATTGCCGGCGAGTGACTGGCGCCAGTGGCGTGTTCTGCCACAAAGCAGCCTCGTGCTGTGCCCCACAACCATTGGGAAGAAATGCGCGACCGCTGGCACCAAAATTGAAGGCTTTTTTAAGCGATGCCGTTCACGTCCTAAATTGCAAGCGACGAACGAGGCGACACGTACGTGTAGTGGTTGTTGGAGTTGGACATGATCAGCAGCTGCATGTCGCGGCTCATCGCGGCGCGTAGCCCCGCGTCGCTCGATCGCGCCTCGAACTCCTCCTCGGAACTGAACCCGCTGCTGTTACCGCCCACCCACCCCTCGTCCGGGGAGCTCCAGTGAATGCGCGTGTCCACGAATTCCCCGTTCGACGAGTCCCCCCTGCCCGCGGATCCCCCTCTTCCGCTCTCCGGCGCGGCTTCCGCGTAGGCGCAAAGGCGGAACCCGTTGGTTCCGCGGGTGTCTGTGTTGGCGGGTCTGGCGAAACGCGGGAATTGGCGGAACGGGAGGTCAGCATTGCGGTGTCCGACGATTTGCTTCGCGCGGGTCTGAGTGGAGCTATCGCGGACGATGGCTGTGGGCTGGCGACGAGTCGCGGCGTGAGTACAGGAGGGAGAGACTATGGCCGAACCCACGGCGGCTGAGGCCATAGTTTTGAATTCGCAGTTTCAGTTTCAGTTTTTGAATCTGTACCCTAGCCCCACTGGAGCGCGCTCAAGTGTCCTGCAAGCGGATGACGAGTTGCTGCACGATGGAAGAAACTACGAAGACGGTTCAGAAAGGAAAAGTTTTCGTCGCCATTGCTGCATAGAAGCTAGTTGCAGTGTAGGGTGGGGCTGGGTGGTGGGTTGGGGGGGGGGGAGCGATCACACAATGATGGTGAGACGGTAACGGCGACGGTGACAGCAGATGAGGAAGACGGAAAAACAGACGGAGGACGAAGGGAGGGGGAGGTGGCACAAAACCCTTGATTCTCCCACTGGTGAATCGGGACCGTAGATTGATTGTTGCTTGAAATTGGACCAGATCCATCCATCGTGGGCAGATGGACACGCGGATCCGTAAATGTCGCTTCGCACTCCGATTGGGCATCCTCCACCTCAGAACGTCTTCACTCCTCCGGTAGTTGCTTGATCTGAACTTGTCAAGATTTTCACTTCAGATTGAACGATGTTCCGATTCAAATATGTACGTTGCTGGTAATTACAAACTAATGTATAGTACCTATTATCATGTTAAATAGCGAAATAGATAACCCAAAATACCAGTATGTTGGGCTCCTAACTACCATAAAAGCTCACATCCCTTAACTGATGGAACTAGATGCCTCACTTGTACGTTGCGAAGTTTGAGAACTACTTTTAAATGATGCCATTGCAGCTAGAAGCTGTGCTCGGCCCACCTTCCCTTCAGGCTGTGACTGCGCATTCTTTTTCCGCCTGACCGTCCAGATATAAACGAACGCCGCCACAGCACCTGCCAGCAGCAGCACCGCAAGGCCCACGCCAATGCTGATGCCCACGATCAGGGCCGTGTTGCTGCCTTCAGCCTGCGGAGGGGGAGGCGGAGACGGGGGGACCGGAGGAGGAGGGGCAAGGGGAGGCGGAGGCGGAGACGGGGGGCTAGGCGGAGGCGGAGGGGATGGCGGAGGGGGTGGCGGAAACTTGACCTGGTATTGACGATCCACGGGCTCCGTCAGCGCGACGAAGTAGCTGCTGTTGAAATTGCTATACCTGAAACACTGTGCAATGTCAGCTGCGCCTGAAAGAGACAACGTCTGCTGGTCTATACCCCCCTCGACGTCTATCAGAGTGCAGGCACGCGGCAAAGCAAGCAGCTCACTTGGAACATTTAAAGCAACCTGCATCTGGCCGCCTCCCGCATTAGACCCTCCCAGACCCACCAAGCTGAGTTCTTTCTGCTGCGCTGCTGGTCCCGCGGGGGCGCCGGGGTAAAAGCGGAAGGAGACGATGGGCGAGAGGAACGCGAGCGGAGTGGCGTAGACTGGCGTGCGCTGCGCGGAGTCAGCAAAGGGCCACGTGCGCGACGTGAGAGGCGTGGCCGAGTTCTGCGACTCAGCGCGCTGCTCGAAGCGCAGGTACAGCAGCGCCGCGGTAGGAGAGGGCGGCTTCAGCGTGCCTTCCGAAGGACAGGTCAGCTCTTGCCAAGTTATCCCGTAGTCCGTAAGATTCGCCGCGTTGAGCAGGCGGACCTTGGCTGTGACGACCACGTCGGGCGCCAGCAGCGGGCGGAGCGCATCAGTGGGCACATCGCTCTCCGCGCCGACGGTCATGGCGGCCACCACGCCGTACATCGCGGGCTTCAGCGCCGCCACCGCGCGCTCCCACACCGATCCAGGCCCCGCGGAAGGAGCGGCAGGGTGGGTGGGGGAGCAGGTGGTGGGGCGGACGCGGTGCTTGTCGCAACGGCATCAGTTGGGCGAGGGAGGTCAGTATCAACGGCTGCTGCAGCGGGATCTCTGGCGGCTTTTAATAAATCCGCTTGAGATGGCCCATGGAAGAGAGTGAGAAGAGCTGAGAGAAATAGGAAATGTACCAGGAGAAGTCGCGCCTGAGGAGCAGCCATTGATAAGTAACAAGTGGTGTAGTTCTGCTGAGTTTCCTAGGCTGCTCAAACAAGGCTCTCCTTCCCTCCCCCCAGGTCGAAATCTGAGCTGCTGGGGTGAAATACCTTTGCAACGGTGAAGCAACATTCGATCTAGATTGCATTCCCCGTTCAGACACCATCCGAAGTTTGGACATTTGTAGCGGTTTTTGAATGCTGTAAGCCTACTCCCCCTGTTTTAATCTGACCTAGACAACAGCCTACAAATTTTTGTTGGATTGATAAATACCGTGCGAACTTCTTCACACTGTGAGTACACTCTACGCTACATGTGTCGGTGAGTGTGAGGGAACACAGTGGACCCCGTCCACCCAACAAATACTTCGAGACTCGGTTACTTCTGGGTAGTTGGGTTCGCTTATCCATGAGCCTTTAAAACTACGAGGTAACTCTAGATTAAGACCTTCATCGGAAACAAAACAAATAACAGCTCAAAGTGTCCGAACTTCGGATGGTGTCCGAACGGGGAATGCAATCTTAGGGGCGAAGGGCGTGGTTTGTGAGGAAGTTTGCGTGCACCGTAGGTCTTGCTACACCGCACTTTAGGAACAGTGAGCTCTGTACATCAGAAGTGACACTTTTGTGACTTCAACTCACCTGTACACCTGCAGTAGAGAATTCAAAAAATGCGGACGGCACATGTGGCGGTCACTAACGTGGCAGCAATTGCAAGGGCTGCTTTTTGATTGGAAAGGCTGCAGATTGATTCCAACCTGCCCCCCGCGCCTAGCTGCAGATGGGCTAGCGCCACCGAAACACACCGTTTGCGGACAGTTCTGTCCGTTTCGCCTGGGATTGAATGAAAGAAATCCGTTGTTGACGAGCTGCGTACTCGTTACTAAAAGATTTGACGACAAAAGTGTATATTCTTTCACACAAGCACACAAAGCTATACGTGTAGTTATAAGGTGGAAACTTCGATTGTGATTACAACTGCTGTATATAATATTCTATTATATATTCTAGAAATATCCATTAAAACAAGGCTTGTCAAACAGAGTAAGTGACAAGAGCATATAGGCATATCATATTTAGAAATTATCCCGGTTTCCCACATTCCAACCCCCACTTCCTTTCTTCCCTTCCCGCCGACGTTCTCTATCGAATATACCTGCCCCAAACCAGACCAACCCCAGCCCGCTTGAGCGCGCCTTTGGTGCGGCTTGGCCAGCGCATGTCTCCATTTCCAGCCGCGATATTCCGTCGCCTCACTGTCGCTGATTCCTTCTCGCTCTTTCGTTGCTCACCCGATACACTGTTGAGCCTACAGTCTTGGTGTAGAATGAGCCCTGCTGGCTAGTAACTTTCACCTACAATGACGCTAGGACGCCGGCATTTCGGGCTCACGTTACGGAATCTTTAGACCGATCATTGTCGCTCAATAGCACTAGCTGCAGGACAGACACCCTCCGTAGTGCAATGGCGCCTACCGCTCTTCCTCCCGCACAGCGCGAAGTCCCCTGCGCGCGTGCGCGCGCGGTAGGCTCTCCGCGCGCACCGCTGGTCGTGGCGGTGCTGGCAATGGCGCTATCTCTGGCGCTGATTCAAATGGCGGCGCAGTTGGCGGTGCTGATGCGACGGGAGAAGCGGGAGACGGGGCAGGTGCGGCCGACGGGGGGAAGCAGCGCGCGGACAGACGCTCCGCAATGGCCGCGGGTACGTGTCGCGCGGTGTTGGGGTTCTTTATCGCGACTGCTAACTGTATCCGCGGTCGAGAATTATAGTTCCGTTATAATGGCGTGAAAATATGCACAGTGTGCGTCCACGCATGAGCGCGCGGACAGAGGTTCGTGATGCGCTCGAGTCTCCTGGTTGGTCGACTCACGCAGGGGCCCGCTTATCGTCGCCATCCGCCGACGCCCCTCCTTCGCGCGCTCTCAATATCGCCCTGCTTGCTTCCCGCATGTGGCGCTCTCCGCCTGCTCCCCCTCTCTTCCGCGCCTCCCTCTTCTCCCTCCGTTTCACCCCCCGCCTGTCTCCCTCCCGCCCGTGTGCGCCCCTCCACCCGTGTGCGCCCCTCCGCCCGTGTGCGCCCCTCCGCCCGTGTGCGCCCCTCCGCCCGTGTGCGCCCCTCCGCCCGTGTGCGCCCCTCCGCCCGTGTGCGCCCCTCTCCGCGCCATCAGGTCGAAAGGCGCAGCTTGGCGCCTGGCGGAGACCGCGCCCACGAGGTGGCGGCGCACAGGAACGGCGCGCGGGCAGGAGGAGTGGCGCGAGAGGAGGCGTGGGGCGACGGGAGAGAAGAGAGGGAGGGGAAAGAAGAGAGAGGAGTGCGGGAAGAGAGAGAAGGGAGAGAAGGTCAAGCATTGGCATCTAGTGGTGCGAGTGGTTGGAGCGAAGGAGAGGGGGGAGGGAAGCGAGGAGGTGAAGAAGGAGAGAAGGGAGGAGGAATTATTAGCAGCCACGTGGCGCCTGGGCACAGTCCACGTGGGCAAGCGCGGAGGAGCGGGCAGAGAGGCGTGCAGCAGTGGAAGCCGCCCTGGAGTCAACGCAGTCAACCTGGTCAACGCATCCCAGCCAGTCAACCCAAGCACCCTGCTGACACCGGCAGCAGCAGCAGCAGCAGCAGCGGTGGCGGCAACAAGAGAGCTGTTAGTGTTTTGTCCCTCCCATCGAAGAGACCGGCACCACGGTTGTTGATGGGCCAGGTACACGCTACAGGCAGCCTCCCACGTGCTCTCTCCTTGCTGTTGGAACACACTTGCTAGTCAAAGCAACTCCACGATAGTTAGTCCACTCCGGGGCGTCCGGGGAGAGCATCCCGACGCTCAGCACACGCAAGCACGCTCGCACGCATGCACGCAAGCACACACGCAAGCACACACGCACGCAAGCACACACGCACATCACCATTGCCACTCAAGGAAGCCCACCCTCGTGCATGCCTTTCCCTTTCCTCCCCTCTGTCCCCCCCTCCCCCTCCCCCTCCCCCTCCCCCTCCCCCTCCCCCTCCCCCTCCCCCTCCCCCTCCCCCTCCCCCTCCCCCTCCCCCTCCCCCTCCCCCTCCCCCGCCCCCTCCCCCTCCTCCTCCCCCTTTTTCTCGGCCGTGTCTCCTAGCGCCAGGCAGTAGCAGCAGCGACTTCCTCGTTCTCAGCCGCCTTGGATCGTCGCTCCCTAGGCCCTCTCAGGTGCACTCTCCTTCCGTCTCCTCCTGTCCAGGAGCCTCGAAGCTCACATGCCTGCTTTCATCACTCATGCGCTTTAATCGATTCAATATCAGCCATGCGTGACCCAGCCATGGGCCATCCTAAGCTCGGTCCTCCCTTTCTCCCGCCCTCCCTCCCGCCCTCCCTCCTTCCCATCCATGCACCATGTGTCTCCCCATCCCTCCGTGGCTCCCTCCCCCAGGGCGTTCTACACAACGATTCAGCTGGGCTCGCAGCAGCAGGCGCTGCAGGTGGGGGTGGCAACAGCAGCAGCCATGACTGCCGTGCCCTGCCTCTGCGCCTCCTGCGCTGTCTCTGGCCGCCTCTCCCCTCCCTCCATCCCTGCTGCTCCCAATGCCCCGGTGCGTCCCTCCTTCCTGTCCTGCCCAAGGGGGTTTCTGGGGGTCTCTGGCACCAGGCTTGTGATTTTTGGGATAGCACCAGGCTTGTGATTTCTGGGATAGCACCAGGCTTGTGATTTCTGGGGGGTTAGGCACGAGGGTTGATTTGAGGATTGCTGCTGCTGAGGGAGTATGCTGAAGGGTGATCTCTGGAGGGTAATGCTTAGATGCGTATGCTCTCCAACCCACTGTATGTAGAGCCACCTGCGAATGCTCTCACACAACCATGCGAGAACGCACATCACCGCGCTTTTCACAGCGGCACTATCCGCTATCTCAGAGCAGCACATCCCTCTCTCCCCCACCTACCTCCCAGACTACGAGCCCCCCGTTCGCGGTACCCCTGAGCACCACAGCGGCCATCATCCCGTGCGTGTCCCCCGACAACTGCCAGCTGCTCGGCAACGGCTTTGGCTGCTCACTCGTCAACGCCACCGACCTCTCCTGCCAGTTCAACCTCCCCCTGCTCTCGGGGGGGGCCCTGGGGGGGAGTTTGGTTGGCAACCGTCGTGCAAGACACGGTGCTGCTGCCGGGGGGAGCAGGGGAGGGAGGTGGCTTGTCTCAGTCTGTGCTGTTTGGGTAAGCGGGGGGAATGGAAGAGCTTTTAGTTTGTGCTGTTGGCGTAAAAGGGGGAATGGAAGACGGGTTAAAACCGTTGTATGGAGTTGTGTGGTATGGTGTGGCATGTCATACCGTCTGCTGCATTGCGTGCATACCCATTTCTGTGTCTCTCCCACTCCTGCATTCAAGAAACTAGTTTCAGTGGAACAGCCAGCCTTGTCTTGTCATTCTCCACACTGGCTTTCCCTCCTTGCAAACCCCCCTCTCCTCCCCCCTCGGTTTTCCCCTCCCATTTTCCCTTCCCCCTCCCGCCCCTCTTCTCCTCTCCCTTCCCCTCTCTTTTCTCCTCTCCCCTCCCCCCTCAGCTGTGCACAGCAGGACGGGGAGGCATCAGCGCTCTCCTCCTCTCTTTACCCCGACGGTCTACTCTCCCTCTCCCGCTCAGCCACCTCCCTCCCCTCGCAACTCGTCTCGCCTTTCCCCGCCTCCCCTGCTGCCGCAGCAGCTCAGGGTTCCCCTGAGGGAGGGGGAGGAGGATGGGGAGGAGCAGGGGAAGGGGCAGGGGGAGGGGTGGGGGGAGCGGAAGGAGGAGCATCAGCAGCGCAAGTGTCCCTAGGTTCTACACAAAAGGCAACAGCAGAGGAAGCAGCACAGGGGGTGGTGTTATCAGCATCAGCATCAGCAGTGTCAGCGGCCCAAGTGGGTTCGCAGCGGTTGGATGCGGTGGGAATGTGTTTTGAGGGTGACGCAGCAGCAGGCAGTGGCGGTAGGCTGATGCTGGGGGATGCAGCAGCAGCAGGGATAGCCGTCAAACCCACCTCCTCCACCCCCATGCTGGGCCATCCTGAAGAGTGCGTAGCGTGATGGGGTCTACATGTCATCCTTGGGGCTGCATGGGGTTGGATGGGGGTGCATGGGTGTTTGTTCCTCCACTTTTCCTACCCATCTCCCCATGTGTTAACCTGTAGAATGCGTCGTGTGGTGGGGTGAGGTCTGTTTCTAGCCTGTGGGGTATATGCGGGCGCATGTGGGTTGCCATCCGCATATACCCACCGCCACCGCCATTGCACCTGTCACACCCTCCCACCTCCCCCGCCTACCCTCTCCCGCCCGCCAGTCAGCTCTACTACACGTCCCCATTGCATCACTGCAAGTGGCAGCTAGGCTGCATAGCCACTGCCACTGCCCATGCCTGAGCCACACACTCTCCAACCTCTCTCACACCCCCCTCTCTTCCTTCCACCCCCCTCCCCCCCAACCCACCAGTCAGCTATACTACGTGGCAATAGCATCACTGCAGGTGGCGGCACAGCCACTGCCGCTGCCAGGCATGACATGGGAGTCGGTGCCAGAGCAGGGAAGGGGAGCAGTCATCAGCTCCTCCGCGCCCCTCACTGCCCTGCCCCCCACAGCTTACAACGCCTTTGTCAACAAGGTGAGGTGTTGGTTTTGAGTCGACTCAAATGAAGAAGGTGAGGTGGGGTGGGGAAGATAGGACATTGTGACTCCTGAGTCCACTCAAAAGGCTGCGGGGCAGTCATCAGCTCCTCCGCGCCCCTCACTGCCCTGCCCCCCACCGCGTACAACGCCTTTGTCAACAAGGTGAGGCGTTGGGTGGGAACGATGAGGCGTCGGCTCCTCCCAGAGCTTTAAGCAAATACGAGCCTTAGGTTTCAGAGGGGCTAATAATTTTTGTGAGTGCTAAAAGAAAACAGGAAGAGAAGAGCGGTTGCTTTTGGACTGACTGTTTGGCTTGATACATGTCGTGCATACTTCCGTGTGCGCAGCACTGTTTTGCCGCATGTGCAAGGTTCCGAGTTCTATCCTATGGTAGTTATGATGATTTCGTTCTGCTGCGTGATCAGGTGCTTCAGCTGGTGCCGGGTGCGAAGCTCACAGGCACAGCATCCCCCACCCTGTCAGTGCCATTGGACTGCTACGACCTGCCTGCTGCTGTCAACATCTCGTGAGTGTTGTAAGAGCGTACGTCCCGTGCACCATGTAAGAGCGTACCTCATGCTCATGCTCATGCCCATGCCCATGCCCATGCCAGTGCAGCTAGACTGCTACGACCTGCCTGCTGCTGTCAGCATCTCGTGAGTTCCATTCCATGCTGTATGATTGAATGCCCCACGCCCCGTGCTCTTGCTCTCTGCTCTGCGCACTGCCATGCTTCCCATCCGCATCTCCTTCTTAACCCCCTTCTCCACCCCCCCGCCCCCACCCACGCTGCTCTTTGCATCCTCGTACACCAACCCAGCTCCCGTGCAGCTCTCCTGGCGTCCTTCCCCCTCGCCCGCCTGGACTTCACCAATGGGGCTTTCTGGTGGTTACCACCGGACACCTACCTTCTTCTGCCTGTGAGTGACAGTCGGTCTAACAGCCCTTCTTCAGTGCTAATCGAATCACCAACGGGGCCTTCTCGTGGTTACCACCGGACACCTACCTTCTTCTGCCTGTGAGTGCTGCTGAGTGCTGCCGTGTGCTGCTGAGTGCTGCTGCACCGCTCCTCCTTTCCGGCAGCAATGAGTGGTTAAGCAGTTACACACTTAGTATGGCCCACACATTTATCAATGATACCGTTCTTCTTCCAGCAAGGAGAGAGGGCACTTTTCTGTTGCCAAAGGCTCCTTGCTCCACATTGCGCAGTGTGCCATATCCGTAGAGAGGCCCGTTGCTTTGGTGAAGGCTCTGGTGACTTTCTTTGTGAATCATCTACCTCCAATGTACCATATCCCCCCTTTCACCCCTCCCTCCCTTCCCCATGGTAACCCACCCTTCCACCCTTCTCCCCCACCCATCTGCGCCCCTCTGCACCCATGCAGGACCCAGTATCTCTGCCCAGGACGGTGTGTTTCTCGCTGCAGAAGACACTGACCAACACGCCCCACACCATCATAGGAGGTGCGCCCACACCATCATAGGAGGTGCGTTGCTGTTTGCGTCGCCTATGTATTAGCAACCATAGGAGGCGGGCCGTGTACTGCAAACGTGCGCGCACGTTCCTCTACACATGCATCCATACATGCGAGTGTGCGAGTGTGCGTGTGTGTGCGTTCACCCATGTACAGCAATCAACATGCACATGCTGCTTGCGTGATCCCTTTCCCACACCACCACACCACCACTTAGTTTCTCTCAACCCACACACCTACACTCACACGGTGATAATTTCAAGAAAACGAGCCCCTCAAAGAGCCCCTTCTTGGCCTCGCCCCTCCTTGCTCTCTCCCCCTGCTCACGTTGCCTCCTCCCCTCTCTCCTGCCCCCATGCGGTACAAATAGCCCCCTGGCTGTACAACAAGCATGTGTATTTCAACAATGCGGCCTCCCGCATATCATGGGCCGACATCAACTGTAAGCCACCCTCTCAGCTCAGCCGGCCACCGGAAAGGCATTTCTACACTTCTTCCACACTTGCAGATTAGAATGGGGTTTGGTGCAGTGCGGTGTGGTGTGCTAGTATGCCGTTTGGACCTTGTCAGAACTATACCTCCCCACTGTCGTTCTCCCACTGGTGTGCATCGTCACCCCACTATCTTTGTAATCCTCCCTCCAACTTCATCAAAGGCTGTGTGAACTTGTTTCCTTCTCCATGCTCTCTCTGCATCCCGCCAGGCACAACGTCCCAGCCACTCAAGTACAAGTGGAACACAACACCCCCGCCTCCCTCCCCCAGTCCCCCCTTTCCCCCTCCGCCCAGCAGCCCTCCCCCTCGGCCCGCCTTCCCACCCCCGCTTCCCCCACCCTCTCCCCCACCTTTTCCTCCCCCTGTTCCCCCTCCGCCCCCTTCCCCCCCTCCCCCGTCCTTACCTCCGCCTCCTCCGCCTTCTCCCCCTCCTCCTGCTGCGTCACCTCCCCCTCCTCCCCCTTCTCTTCCCCCACCCGCCCCGCCTCCTGCTCCCCCTCCCTCACCTCCCCCTTCTCCCCCACCCGCCCCTCCCCCAACCCCTCCCCCTTCCCCTCTTCCACCCCCATCCCTCCCTCCAACCATCACCCCTATTCCCCCACCTCTTTCCCCTCCGTCTCCCCCCCCACCTTCCCCCGTACCTGCTCCCCCGCCTGCTCTTCCCCCTGCCCCTCCTCCCCAAACCCCAGTGATTCCCCCGCTCGAAACTCCCCCTGTCATGCCCCCAATCCTCCTCCCAATTCCTCCCCCCAGTCCCCCCCCTTCCCCCACTCCCCCAGCATCTCCCCCTGAAACCCCTCCCCCACCATCCGAACCTCCCACCGCCCCTCCTCCCGAACCTCAAGCTGCTCCTCCTCCCGAGCCTGCATCCGCACCTCCTCCCGAACCACCAGCCTCACCGCCACCCACCGAACCTCCCCCTTCACCGCCCCCTCCCGAACCTGAAACCCCCGCGGACTCCAACTGCCCTCCCGAACCTACCTTGTGCGGTTTCATCCTCGGAGGTTCGGAAACCACCGTACCTCGCATCACGCTGCAGCAGCTTCTGGATCCAGGCTCGGCAGATGGACTAACCACAGTAACTATAGCTCCCGCAGAGGTCAACACAGGGGAGGGCAGTGGGGGGGGAGGTAGCGGAGGGGGAGATAATGGGGGTGGAGTGCGGGTGGTGGTGATTAATGTTGGCTTGGCGGAGATTCTGTGTGGGGATGGAGTGGAGGACAAGACTGCAGCAGCAGCTACTAACGCTTTCTTCTTCCAAAGCAACGTGAGGAATGAATCTCCTGTTTTACAAGACTTGCTGCTCGGTCTGCAGAATTTCCTGTTTTATGTGTCGCTCCCATCACGCATGCCTCTCCCATCACGCATGCCTCTCCCATCATGCATGCCTCTCCCATTGCACATACGTGCAAACTTGCGTACATCGGCTCTCACACCACATGAGCTGTAACATCTTCCTTTCTTCCTCCCATCCACACCTTCCCCACCCCATCCACATCTTCTCCAGGTGCTAACAGCACGTAACATCATGGATATTCTCTCCGCCAACCTAGCCAACCACTACATCCGGTTACCCATCAGTGCCGCACAAGTGTCCACCGACGCTGCAACGTTCAATCTCAACGCAGGTGACGGCAACAGCATCATTCCAGACGAGAGGCGCTGTGTGGTGTTTTACTTCTCGTCATCCGACGGCTCTTCTTCTGACAGCTCAACTGAGAGCTCATCCGACGGCTCTGACAGCTCATCTCATGACTCTGATGGGTCTCACCTCTCATCCGACGGTCCTGGTGGCTCGTCACATGACTCATCTGGCGATTCACATTACAGCTCCTCCAGCAGCTCAGCTGAGGATTTTAACCCTTTCTCACATCACCCCAAGTACTATCACCAACACTTGTCCCCACAAAGATCGCTTACCACTTGATTACGGTATATAGATGCTAATCACCAAGCTCTCAATATGTATAGCATCACAAAGATCGCTTACCACTTGATTACGTTTTATTTAGCTAAACTAGTAGTGTATTGACAACAGGCAACAGGTACAGCAGAGGTGTAATGACTCCCATGGCTTTGTATGATTATTTGCATCTTATTCATTCACTAGGTACAGCAGAGATGTAATGACTCCCATGGCTTTGTATGATTATTTGCATCTTATTCATTCACTAGGTACAGCAGAGGTGTAATGACTCCCATGGCTTTGTATGATTATTTGCATCTTATTCATTCACTAGGTACAGCAGAGGTGTAATGACTCCCATGGCTTTGTACAGTAGTGCCCAAGTATATACTCAGTGTCATGACTCCCATCCCATCACCGTAACCACGGATCATAAAACATGCATCACCATAGTACAACCATTGAACCATACATACCCTACAGAGGAATACAGGTGCTTCTCTGAATCCTCGCCAGGCAAAGGTTTGACAAACACCACGTTAGTCCTCTGGAATTTGTCCTCTCCTCACCATCTTAGTCTCCTCTCCTGAATCAGATTACAATGAGGTGAAAAAAGGAACTCATAAGCACAATGGCATGTATGAACCAAGAGTTGTGTGCCTGATGGGTGTTTCCACATCCTTCAGGGGATTCGGCGATGGTACGGCACGTCTGATCCAAAAGCCTTTCTCTCCTCCCTCTCCAACTTGATATGAACAGGCAAGAATGTAGCAACGGAGTGAGGAATGAGAGGATAGAACAAGTAATGGCCCGCATCTCCCACAATGCCTACCAGCTCCGCAGGCCACTTCCGTACACAACATCTCCCTTTTTCCCAGCCCTGCTACCAATTGGCCAATCATGCATAGGTAGCAGAATCTGACTGACAATGCATCGCACAAAAAACGCAGGAGAAAGCAGTATGAACAGAACAATGGGTGTTGCAATGCAAGAAACGGGTTGGCGTACCTTATGGAGCTCCTTCTGCAGGTAAGCCTGGAACGGCGCTTGCTTTTCCTGAACACAAACAGCAGCGGCAAACCACACCACAACAACCAACCAGGCCAAGAGGTGATGCACGGTTCCAGGGGTGAAGCAGGTGTTCTCACTGCCATGAATCGGAAGGCCTAGCAGATGAAGATGCATCGTACGTAACTCAGGGGGGGGGGGAGGAGGGAGCACAGGGGGGAGTGATGGGAGCAAGGGGAATGCAGGACAAGTGCAGGCGAAAAAAAAAAGGCGAAAAAAAAAAAGGTGAAAAAAGAGGCGAGCGCAAGGCGGGAAAGGGATTAGAGCAGGGGGAAAAGGGATCAGCGCAGGGGGAACGAGTGGTGAGCGCAGGGAGGAGAAGGGATCACTGCAGGGGGGATGAGCGGTGAGCACAGGGGGGAAATATGGATCAACGCACGGGAGGGATGCCCGCAAGGGAGGGATGCCCGCAAGGGAGGGATGAGCGCATGGGGGACGGCATGCGAGCAATATTTTGAATGGGGTGAGGAGCGAGCAACGGGGAGATGAGGAATGAGAGATGAGGGCATGACGGAATGCTTCCCACCAAACACGAAGGAGGGAGTGACGGAGAAGGGAGGGGGAAGGGGGATGGGAGCAAGTGGGAAGTGAAAGGAGGGGACGGGGCCTTATTTTGACTATTAAGATGATACAAAGCATCGCTCTTTACCTCCCCAAGCTCGCCACTAGACCACGGCGACCAGAGCGCGCGCCAGGACGACCACGGCGACCACGGCGATCACGGCGACCACGGCGATCACGGCGACCAGAGCGCGCGCCAGGCAGCGCGCATCACACGGACATGTTCTTTCTAGGGTTAGCTATAGAACGGCGGGATTGTGAGATTCATTTACGCGGAAATTGGGCTTAGCGCGGAATGCAAAATTCCGCTCAGCGAGTGAGCTACCGCCGTCCGCTGAAATTATAGTCCCTTCGCGACGTAATGAGTATACGAGAATTGACGAATAATTCTTACTGCCACCAGTCGTCACAGAACGCGAAGCCTAGGAACCATCAAGTACTTACTGCCTGGCGACCGTATGGTTTCTAAACTCCTCAGCCGCATGTCCTACATGCTGTCGATGGATCGCAAGTCCGTTGGAGGCAGAAGAGCAAGAGTGATTGCTAGTGGAGAACTCAAAAGCTATATTCGCCGTTTCTAGTACTTCATGCGCTGAAGGGTTTGTGTCAGGTCAAGATGAAATAAATTAATAAATAACATTTCACATACAAGCAAGCGATCTCCACTAGAGACTACAACCAGCTTCAGATACTAGTAGTCTAAGACGAAGGCCACTCTTCTGCTGCTGCTCCACTTGTTTTCGAGTCTTGAGTCTTCAGTCTTGGATCTTGAAGTCTTGAGTCTTGACCCCTCTTGGCCGCTAGAGGCAAAGCCTCTAGCGTTTCACCCATGCACCACGTTGAGGTGGGGGTTTATCGCACGGGACACCTACGGGGGGAGGGAGGGTGGGCCGGGCGGAGTTGGAAGGGAAGAAAGGAATGAAAACTTATTGAGGGGGGAATTATGAAATGTACTGCCACGGGCAGAAAACCGTCTTGGATGTCCGGCTGTCAGATGTCAGGTGGGAATCCCCGAGTCGCGCTGATGTCAGAAAATCTGTAGCATACCTGGCACACCTTACCAACCAAACTTAGCCGCGGCACATCGTACTGTACCGCGGCTTATCGAATCGTACTACGCCCCATCGAAACTACCCAACCGCGGCATACCGTGCCGGGCTTTTCGAGCCGATCAGTCTGTTCCGTGGTCCGTTCTACGCGACTGCATCGTGTCCGTCTGTAACGAGTCTAGTCTATAATCGGAGACAAGTTGGAGCAGATCCTCATGCTGCTCGTTGTCTCACGACCTGACACGGGGCACTGGAGGAAAGGAGTGGAAAGGCGTGAAATGATGGCGTCCGCTCCCCGCCAGCGCCGTTGCTCCTCACTCGCACTCCGCGATCCAACCTCGGCCAGCGCCATTGAAGACCGCTTCGTCCACAGCGCCGTTGTCTCCCGCTCACGCCGCTCCTGCGCGAGCACACAACAATATGTTAGAATCCAGAAAAAATAAACAAGGAACAACTGGAACCGAAACTTACTAAGTCAGAGGTAGTCCCCCGTGGTAGCTTGAACTCCCGCCGCGACCGCCTCGCAGCTCCTGCACTAAAAGAGGGAACACACAAGATAGTAGTTAGTATCGGGAAAAGAAAACCAAGGAAAACAGGAACTGAAACTTACAAAGAGAGGGGAAGTTGTGGTAGCTTGAACTCCCGCCGCAACCGTTGACTCCCGCTCTCCTGCGCTACAAAAGGGAGCACACAATAGTAGTTAGAATTCGGAAAAAGAAGCACGGAAAACTGAAACTCATACTTACAAAGAGAGAGGAAGTCGTGCTAGCTTGAACTCCCGCCGCAACCGTTGACTCCCGCTCTCCTGCGCTACAAAAGGGAGCACACAATAGTAGTTAGAATTCGGAAAAAGAAGCACGGAAAACTGAAACTCATACTTACAAAGAGAGAGGAAGTCGTGGTAGCTTGAAATCTCGCCGCAACCGTTGACTCCCGTTCTCCTGCGCTACAAAAGGGAGGACACAAGATAGTAGTTAGTATCGGGAAAAGAAAACCAAGGGAAACAGGAACTCATACTTACAAAGAGAGAGGAAGTTGTGGTAGCTTGAACTCCCGCCGCAACCGTTGACTCCCGCTCTCCTGCGCTACAAAAGGGAGCACACAATAGTAGTTAGAATTCGGAAAAAGAAGCACGGAAAACTGAAACTCATACTTACAAAGAGAAAGATAGCCGCTTCTGCGCTATCCGCCCAGGAAAACGCGTGATCCGCCCGGAAAAACGCGCCATCCGCCCAGGAAATGCGCCTTCCGCCCGCGCAAAACGCGCCTTCCACTCGCAAAACGCGCCATCCGTCCGGGGGACGCGCCTTCCGCCCGCGAAACGCGCCGTCCGCTCGCGAGAAGGGCGCCGAAGCGAACCGAAGCGTCGCCAAGCGCCTCCGATGCGCCGTGTAAACTTGCCGAAGAAGCATCCTTCGCCACGTCGTCACGTCACGCGTCCCCATCCCAGCACGCCATCTGTGAGTCGCCACGCGTCGCTGGCGTACGGTCAGCTTCTGCAGAAAAAAGAGAAAGATTTCGTCAGATTCCGTCAAGGACATGTATATGTCAAAGAGAAAGTAAAGATGCGAAGCGAAGCGAACTGCGAAAAAATGGAATCACCAAAGGGCGAGGCTCTGCTGAAGATCACGTTACCTCTACCTCGCTGCTGCTGCTTTGGCACCTTCACCATTCGTCCCTGCTGCGTCGGCGCCTTCTCCGATCGTCACTGCTGCTGCATCGGCGCCTTCAACGATCGTCGCTGCTGCGTCGGCGCCTTCACCGATCGTCGTTTGAAGCTTCGGCCGCCAAAAGGTCTGCATCAGGAAACGGCACCAGGTTAGTACTACTAGAAAACATAAAAAATGAAAGAAAGCGGCAAAACGAGTGGAAAGAAAACAATAACGGCAATACAGCCAGAGAAAATCGAGTGGAATAAAGATTGTGCTTACCAGTGACGAGGGGCAGCGACGAAGGAGGCCGTCAGCGGGACTTGGCGTCAGGAGCCACGCCGACGGCGACGGCGTTAATGAGCAGCGGGACTTGGCGTCAGGAGCAACGGCGACGGGTTACGGCGATAATGAGCAGCGGGACTCGGCGTCAGGAGCAACGGCGACGGCGTCGGTGACATATTAGTACTTGTCGGAGCTTTCGTGTCTCGGCCATCTTCGGTCGCCAAGACGGTCGCCATGACTGTCGCCAAGAAGGTCGCCGAGGTCTGGAAAAAAGAAGGCGGCGAGATATTAGTACTTGTAAAAAGAAACCGAAGTTGCTTGAAATAAAACTTTGAAGTGATGTACCATTGGAGACAAGTTGGCCACTGGCGACGGTCGGCGAGGCGACATGAATGCATTCGTAGCTGCG